GGGGGGGGGGGGGGGGGGGGGGAGGAGTGGGGGATGAGAAAAGAGACACAGCCCATTCTGCCGACAACTGTTCTCTTTCATCTTGAAGGTCTCTGCAAACGACAGCGTCCCGATTAGGTTACAGGAAAAAGGGGAAACGAAATTGCGCCTCCCCCCCCCCTTGGCTAAAAATGAGCAGTGGTTGGACCTCGGCTCAGAACAAAGGACCTCAGATGGCTCCGCAACATCGGACTGAGCATTGAGTGGGCAAAGACAGGTTGACTGCCTGCAGAGATTTGATGGCCCACTGAACAACATCAGAGGCCTGCTGTCCGCAGACGCGACTATATTGTTCTGCCTACGTTCATCTTCCTACGAAAGAGAGAGAGAGAGAGAGAGAGAGAGAGAGAGAGAGGAAACGGGGAGAACTGTATGCGTGAGGCTTCGCCCGATTTCATTTATGGCCTCTTTAGCGCGAAGTTCCACCGCATTTCCCCACCGTACAAGTAGAGATAAAGACAGGCAGCAGATTGTTAGGCCAGAGCGTTTTTGGGCTGTCGCGCCTGGTATGCTAGGCTCCCACCTGCTAGGGCAGATCGGTCTTCTTCAGGATCGATGGGTGGTCTGCAAGTTCTTAGCGTGATCTTGTAGCCCCTCAAGCACGTATGAGACCTTTATCTTTGGCACCTATGACACGCTAAGAGTCATGCGATCACGGCTCCGGAGCGGTAGGAGGATGAACGCATGCAGCTGCTGGGGGGGGGGGGGGCAAATGACAGGCGCTCACAGACTCGGCAATCACCCAATGGAATCACCGTGTTCCGGACGCCTGTTAAAACGCTGCACTGTAGGGATGTAGCCACAGCTGTTCCAACTTTGGCTTATGCTAGACTCCTAACCCGTTGCCGGTTATCTACCGACACCACGGCACCGCGCTGGCCAAATTCCCACTTTAATCTCATTGGCCATTGCAAGACTGTCAAATATGTTAGTTTGCGGCCTCGATCATCCTAGGGGCTAATCTTCTGCGTTATCCTACTTTGCATTATCATGCTTACTCTTGCTTATTGGTAAATCTGTTGCTCGGAGGCCCTATAAATGCCGAGGTCAATTGATGTCCGGACAGCTTGGACCGGAGAACGCCTCCTCGACGCCTCTACACGTCATCACCGCCCTCACTTGCCTGATCAACTAAGGGGCGTCTCTATGTCAACCAGTCCCCGCCAAAGGACCACCCCCTGTTCCCTATACTGTCTGATCTCCAACCCATCTTCTCGTCGTCCTAAATAATCCCCAAATTTCCCTTAGGTCACGGTCTTATGTTCTTATTGGTGTTCAAATAAGAGGGTTTCGACACGTGAAGAAGGAGACACGATCGCTGGTACAAAAGCTTTATTCGCCTGACGTTTCGGATCCTTTCTCGAACCCATCATCAGAGACAAAAACAGATAGGGGTGGATGGTGCACAAGGGACTGCAGTACATGTAGGATGCAGCCGCCATACTATTGCATACCTATAAAATTCCACGGCTCTCTTCCCCTTTGTCGGGGATTGTTGCACTTGGTGTGATGACTGTTTGATGACCGACATTCGCGCCGCTAATAGCTGAAATTTCATCAGGGGCTTTGGACGTTGGTGTGATGATCGTCCAATTATCTGGCCCACCGATCCTGGCGCTGCGAACGGTGTTTGCCAATGTGCTCCCCGCGTGACCAATCACTCCGCCTAGGCGAAGTCTCAGCACCGAATATGGAAGGGGGAATTCGTTGCACTTGTTAATAGACTGGGGGCGGGTGAAGCATGACTCAAGCAACTCGCAGCTGACGCGGTTGCAAAGTCTAGCGAGAATTTCGGCCTCGTCGAATTTGAATGTGTGGCCGGATCTTGTCGAATGAGCCGATGGTTGTTTCCGGCCTGCGTGCAACTCCAACCTCAAGTGGTGCGAAAATGGGGCCGACAACCTCCAAAACGTTCTTGACATACGGAAGCGCTCGCCAAATTTTGGTGTCCGTGCGGTTTGGTCTTTTGTCCCTTTTGCGTATGCACCGGTTGACGAAGTTGAGCCGGTGGCTATTGGTTTTGAAGACCCGTCGAGGGTATTGTAGTTCGGCAATCGTGTCTTCCAACTCACTGCAGTGCGTTCCTACACGCCGATAGAGCGTCCTTACACAACTGACTTTGTGGCTGATTGGGTGGTTGCTGTTGAAGTTTAGTACTTGCACCGTACTTGTCGCTTTCCTGAACACTTTTGTCTTTAGTCCACCACAGTCTTTGCGGCATACGAGGACATCCAGGAAGGCCGGCTGGTTGTTCTCTTCCTCCCCCATCGTAAATTGCATGTCCGGAAGGACCGCATTGAGAGGTTTTTTGTATGCCAGCCGTTGATTCCGGTCGATAACGACGATGGTACCATTGCAGTACCGGGCCCAGGACCTCGGTCTGTGGTGTAGGTAGACCAGCGACTCTGGCCGTTGCAAGACCGCCTCGGCGATGAACCCCGAAATCGGCGAATCCATTGGTGTGCCCTTTACCTGTTCGTAGATTGTCCCGTCGAACGTGAAGTGCGTCCTGAGACAGAACTTCAGGAGCTGAAAGACTTGGGCGCGTCCAAGACGATTCTCCGTTTCATCGTATTTGCTTTGTAGAAGCAGCTCGATTGTCTCGATCGGCCAACTCATTGGCGTGCCCTCACCTGCTAGTAAATTGTCCCTTGAGCATAAACCACCCGTATCTGCTATTGTCCCTGACGATGGATTCGAGTAAGAATCCGAAACGTCAGGTAAATAAAGCTCTTGTTCCAGCGATCGTGTCTTCATCATCATCATCATCATCATCATCATCATCATCATCATCATCATCATCATCATCATCATCATCATCATCATCATCATCATCATCATCATCATCATCATCATCATCATCATCATCATCATCATCATCATCATCATCATCATCATCTTCTTCTTCTTCTTCTTCTTCTTCTTCTTCTTCTTCTTCTTCAAGACTGCTTTCTGGGACTCGTCTCTTCGCTTCCATTAGTTTCGACACCTAGCACGCCTGGGCCGTTTACAGTACATATCGTGCACGTCAGTGGCGTTCTCGGCCAATCACGGTTGTGCAAACCAGCCAATCACCTTCAAGGCCGACGCAGGCGTGCTCTCGCTCGAGGTGCTATTGTAGCGGCCGAGGACGTCAAGGGTAGCACACACCAAAGTAAGAGAACGCTGAGAGTAGATCCTGGAGGAAATAGATCTGAACAGAGTCGTTAGCATCTCTGAATACTCATTCACACACAGCAGAAGATAGTACGTCAGGAACGGAATACAGTATAGCATAACAAGACGGTCATGGGAGATACGTATAATAGCCAATAGAAGCGAAGAGCCGAGTCCCAGGAAGTAGTCTTGAAGAAGGAAACACAATCGCCGGGACAAGAGCTTTATTAGCTTGACGTTTCGGATTCCTACTCGACTCCATCATCATGGATTCGAGTAGGAATCCGAAACGTCAGGCTAATAAAGCTCTTGTCCCGGCGATCGTGTCTCCTTCTTCAATACGTATAATAATAATAGTTACTCGTACAGTTGGAATGAGTTACGGCCATCAGATAACCTGTCTGGGTGGGGAGGCGATACCGACATGCCAGCTCATTAACCGGTGGGGAATGCAGCGCTGTGGGCAACTGCAAGGAAAGGCCGAGGGAGGTGCCGATGTTGTGAGACGGAGAGCGATGCGAGAGAGAGGAAGGGACACCGGCCATCTTCACTGACACGCGGTTACGCCATCTCCACCCTAGGTCCTCGAGCGGAAAAGTGTCACACATTCAAACAATTCTGTTCAAGTCCAGGGGCGTTACACTATGACGCATCCCCCGTTTTCACTCGGGGACGCCGCCCTCGCGGCGCTGGACGTGTTATCTCTTCCGGCTGTCAGCTTATTTCAACTGGTCTTTAAACTGGCGTTGAACACCTCTGTCTATTTGGGACTGGGCCTGAAGGTCGTAGTGGCTAAGTCCTGTCTATAGCTTTAGCTACCGCGACACTACTTAACTGCGAAAACCTCTGGCAACTTCCACTGATGAGTGTGAGGCTTTACACTGGGTCAGTCACTATGACGAAACCACAGCAAGGTGAGAGCAGGGACGGTGACATGCGCATGTGGGCGAGGTTTGGTACTGCAGCCCCACTTGATTTATACCCTATAGTTAGCTTCTTAGAACAGTTTTAATTAACATATCTAACGTTGGATTAGGAAGGGAGGTAGAGCGCAAGCAGAGATCGAAGCACGCACAGGGAAGCACGTGTGAACCGATGCTTGGTGTAACCGAAGATGGCGTGTACACACTCTCCCCCCGACAGAGCCATTCGGTGGATTAAGAAGATAAGGAGGGTGCATTCACAACTGGAAGGCTACGGAAGGAACCGCGCGTTAATTAGCGGTGCATGGTCAGTATGGTATTACCGACAAAGTCAAGGGAGACTGGAATGGCCATTTTTGGCTTATTAGCCATCGTCAGCCAGTCATACCCAACCCCGATGTGTGGAGCACCCGAGGCTCGAACTCGCGACCTGTTAGTTAGAAGTCCACGCCTCTAACCACTGGGCCACGAGCCCGTGGTCCCATCGGTTTTCGATCGGGAATATACAATGGTAGGGGGCGCTCATCGATCATTCTTAGGGAACTCACTCTTTCCGTCGTGCCTTACGGGTTCTCTCTCGAGCCCAACCAGCAGCCGCACAGCGGCGCATGATATAGGCAGTATGGTATTGCCGACAAAGACAAGTGAGACTGGAATCGCCATTTCTGGCTTGTTAGCCGTCGTCAGCCGGTCATACCCAACCCCGAAGTGTGGAAACTTGAGGCTCGAACTCGCGACCTGTTGGCTAAAAGTCCACGCCTCTAACTACTGGGCTTCGAGGTTGAGTATGACCGGCTGACGACGGCTAATAAGCCAGAAATGGTCATTCCAGTCTCGCTTGACTTTGTCGATAATACCGTACTGCCTATATCATGCGCCGCTGTGCGGCTGCTGGTTGGGCTCGGGAGAGAGCCCGTATGGCACAACGGAACGAGTGAGTTCTGTAAGAACGTTCGGTGAGCGGCCCCTACCAGGGCATGGTGACTATGCCGGAACCGACGGAGTTCCACTCCGTCCGAACGATGCCATTAGCAAGCCTACATACTCAGACACCCGTTGGATCAAGATAATCAAGGAGGCGCAGACAGGGCTCAAAGCGTGCGCGTGTAAACTAACACCTGATGTAACCGAGGCTGGCGTATAAGCACTCCCTGCAAGGCTCAGTAACTCGCCGGATTAAGATAGTAAGGAAGGCGCAAATACGTGTTGTATGTAAAGTCAGTGTAATCGCACCTACTGAAATTATTTTAGTAAGCTAAGCATATGGTATCAGTCAAGGGGGACTGCAGAACCAGGCCTCGCCGGGCGTAAATTCGTTTATTATTGATGATAGACTTGCGCTGCATCCACCGCACTCTCTCCTCCCCCCTCCCGCTGCGCTGTCTGGATCCGCTTTTAAGATAGTTTCAAAAAGACCGGAGGTGAAGGAGGGCGCAGGAGGTTGGTAAGGCGAAAACCCGCACCTAGGCGTGCCGCCACACCCCCTAGCCCACAATGTGGCCCGACTAGGATTTTATGCACCAAGAAAAGGGGGGGGGACGCCTATGTTCTCAGTTGCCGCGCGACGTGAGCCTTCACTTGGGCGCGCCACCACAGCCCCTATGTGTGTGACAATAGATGTGGTTGCGCATCCCCAGGAACTCCAACTGCGTCCAAACCTGACCCCCGTGTCTGCCCA